TTTATCTTTTCTTCTTGGCTATTATTTGATTACAGTGTGTCTACCTTGAGAATTTTTTCCTTTAACAAGTATGTTGGAATTTCTGGGGCTTTCTAGGGGACCCATACCTTTATCTATCCTGAAAATTTTTAAGGATGATTCTTTTCCCTATTTCTACTACTATTTCTTTTCTGGACCTTCAATAAAATGTATCAAAGGCCTATTTTTTAATCCAACAAGTCTTTTAACCTTTGTTATTCTCTTCTATTAACTGTTTACAGTATATAAGATTTTTTTGGACCTACTTGCAATTCAACAATTCTCTCTTTAGAACTTATGACTAATTTGATATAGTAACCATTTAAATTACTACATTTCATTTTTAGGATTTCTGTTTGTGTAGTTTTCATATCTACCTTGTCACGTTTCATACTCAACTGTATTCTTATTTTGATGAGTGCCCTTGCGTTTTTGAACATACTAAGCGTACTTAGTTCATATTTGAGAGAGACTCATATTTTTATAGATTCAGTGGGTCCAATTGTATTCTTTGTTGTTTCTGCTGACTCTTACAGAAGCTTATTCCTTCATGCATTTTGCATTAGAATCTTTTTATTATGGTTCATGCTTTTGGCATTTTATCTGTGAGAATTCACTTTTTCAGAGAGAATATTCCACTAACTCAGGAACATTTCAAACTAAAATTTTGGCTTGACCATTTTCAGCTCACAAAAAATATCTATTTGGCCCCCACTCATGTGAGAATTGTCTTAGGGTTAAGACTTCTCAGAGGTGACTGGTCCCTTCAACCAGAGCACAGACAGACAAGACTCCTTCCTCTTTGTGGGGTGAGTTAGATTCTAGCTATTCTTTCACTGAGGGTTTTGCCTTATAAAATACAGTGTTTATGAAGGAATTTTGGATTATACTTCCTGCATTGCACAGACACTACATTTGTCTTCTATTTCTTTCATGTAGTCCAATAAGCCAAAAAATCTGGACGTCCAGGGATAGCAGATGCCCCAGGAAATCCATCAACTTTAAGACTGCCTACCTCTTTGTATTAGTGTTTTCTGATCAGATTCAGCTTCTAAGAACCATTCCCCTCACACATATATACACACCTGGACACATATTTGAAAACATGTCTTTTATACTTTATTCAGTTTTTAAAGGTTTTGTATCAGAAGAGGTTTAAAGTATACCTTGTCTGCTATATCTTGGAAATAGAAATATTTTTTGTGTGTGTGATTTTAATTGCAAATGTTAATACAAAGTAACCCCTTAACTTCTTTCCTTTATTATCATTCACTTATTTTTTTCTTAGTCTTATCCAGGCAATATGAAATTCAGTTAATTACCTAAAGATGCTACACAATAAATAAACTGCAGCTTTTTTTTGAAAAATAATGTTTAACTTGTTTCTATAACTATATCTTTTGCTGTGGAAATTTAAGCCACTTTTCTTTCTAAATCCTAAAACAAAACTTTTCAGTGCGGCATCCATGTTCCCTCCTTTCCAAATCACATGAATGTATATATACTTCTATTTTTTTTCCTAAAAAAGGGCCTATAATTTTTAGTAGATTCTAAAATAGGTACATAATCTTAAAAATTAGGTTAAGTATTTCTTATCTTAGAGGAATATCAACAATGAAAAAGGCTCACATTTATAGGAGAATTCTGGAAACTATGTCTGGGAAAAGGGAGTGAAAAATATCCCATGAGAAAGAGTATATATAGCTCTATTCATCTATACATGCCGGTCTGTCTACGTTAGATCGATTCACCTATTTACACAGAATACACACACATATGCCCACACTCTTACAGTGGCGTGCACATGCTACTCTGCTGAAAGGCACTAGTAAATGGGAAGAGGAACTCGGGTTATCAATAATAAATTTGTTTTAATTATGTGTATTTTTCTACTCGAAGTTTAATGACAGTAAACTGATCTTCCCTGAGAGAACCAAGCCAGTCATCATCGCCAAGGAAACCCGGACAGCAGTCCTATCTAAAACGGGTAATTATGAACTAACATTACCCATCTTGACCTCCCGCCAGACTTGGCTCCAAGTGATTCAACTGTTCCCATAAATCACATCTTCCTTCCAGAGACAAAGATATTTCAGATATTCAAAAGAATGTGACAGGGCTTTGAAACAAATTCCAAGACAGCTCCAAAGCATTTTGAGTGCAGGCAGCTGCATGAGACTCTGTGTTAACTAGTCGCTGTTGGATGGGTTATGATCCTCTCTGGGGGATTGGGTGCTAGTGGCTTCACGAGTCTCACTGTTTTAAAGCCACCTTTCTCTCTGTGTATCTCAGATATCATGATATGACTGCAGAATGCTCAAGAAAGTAGCTCTGAGAGCTGCTCTTCAGAAGGACATTTAGATACCTTTGTGTGTGAACATGTCTTTGGGACATCTTGATGGGCATTGTCCACTGGGAAAAGTGTTTGGTTACACACCCTGGAAAAAGCGATGTCACTCTACAGTTGTTACTTGGATAATCTGTAGCAAAATGTATACTTTCTTCCTCACTTTAAAACCAAAAGCCTAGAAATTGCTTGCTTTTTACCTCTGGCAACAAGGCTCTAGTGGAGTGTTGTATACTCTAATTCTCAGCTCCGAATATTGTTTTTTGAAACAAAAAGTCTTATATCTGCTTTCCCCGCAGGATCTCTCTGGCCATTGTTGTAAATCTGGGAGGAAATCATGGTACTTATGGCAATGTAGTTGGTTAAAGGCTGAACACTGAAAATGAACAAGGGGAATCCATAGTCCTAAAAGCTGATTAAAAGTAACCCTGCAGATGCTAAATGGTGGATTAAAGAGAGATTACTGACAAATTGATAGACTGGCACCTAAACACTATAAACACAGAACAGTTGTACTGTAGATTTAAATTAATACCATTTAGGAGAAGAAAAAGAAACGTCACATAAGAAACTATGGTCTTGTATCGAGATTCATACAAAATAAATACAACTCTGGTCCCTGATAGATTCCACAGCTTAAATTGTCAACATTAATAAGTGCGTGGAGTCAGAATTATTATTATTACCGTTATATCATTACATGCAGGGTTGTCTGAGCCACTTAGAAAAGAGACAGCAGAATAGCACAGCTCAAGAAAAGTAAAATATGGACCATGTGAGACTCTGAAAAAAGTTACAAATTATCTGAAAAAAAAAACCAAACAGTACCTACTGCTTATCTCAGGGGCATTGAGCGTCCTCTGAACACTGAGCATGGACCAAGCCTTATACGTAAACTTTGAATCATTGCAGGATACATTAGTAATGTGAAAAATAATAATTAGTAATATAACCAGTTGTGCATCAGGCACTGACAGAGCAAAGCACTTCAGATGTATGGCCTGGTTTAATCCATACCACACTCATATGATGTATAATCCTAACACCCCTACCTTATCATTGTACGTCATTTCGCAGTTTTAACACATATGGTCTTGTGATTCTATACTTTCAATAAGACAGGCAGGGCAGGAACAAGCATCAGTTTTGAGAAATGACAAAACCGAAATTCAGAAAAGATGGGTCTGTTGTGCAAAGGCAGACAGCAAACAGGGATCTACTGTTGTGGTTTTTCTATAATTTCATACCATCATAATCTTTTGGAAAAAGATAAAAAAAACAAACAAGGGGTTATTTAGCTATGGCTCATCGCTGTCACCAAGCCCATAAGAAGCCACTCAAGTTGGCACAGGCAGATGGCCATTTCTGGTGTCACTTGGCAAGAGAAAGAAGGGCTTTGCCACAGTACGAGGGATTAGAATTAGACACGCAGACCGGCTCCCTGCGGGAGGGCGAGGGTGGGGTGGTCACCAGTGCACAGTGCAGCTTAGGTAAATCTTAGCTCTGCTCCTGGTGAGCTCTATGTTCTTGGAATTCTTCCTCACTTGTCTAGGCCTCATTTCCCTGATTCATATAAGGGGATAATACTAGTGCCTATTTCTTAGGGCTGGTCAGTGGAAAATGAGATTATGCATATAAAACACTTAGAATAGCGCCCAACACTTATTAAGCCCTTAAGAATTACAATTTAAAAAATGATTTTATACCTCCTCTCCTTGTTGTTTTGATAAACATAGAAGTATCCAATATGGTTTTATAAACTAAAATGGCTCCTTCCAGATTTTCCCTCATTTTTCAGTGTTCCTAATTGGGATTTACTCAATAGGCCTGGCTCCCACCCGGTAAGATCCCTACCAGGCGGAGGGGCCACTGGAAATATCAGACATGGGTTTATATAACTATGTAAAGGGCTCACATACTATAATTACAACTATAATCATGGCTGAAATTAAGCTATACCATGACCTTGGGCAAATTTCTTAATTGCTCAAGATATTGGTGTTCAACTATAAAATCATGTGCAGAAACACAGGTGACTTCAGGCCATGGACTGGGTTTGCAGAGGAAACTGGTACTAGAGCCCCTGACTCCTCACCGAAGGTGGAATTGCCTCCCTACCCGCCCCCGCCCCCGTCCCCCACTATGCCATACTCACTTCCAAAGCCTTTAAAAGTAGAGGTCAAAAAAGGTTTGCAAAAAATAGCCTTCATAAGCCAGCAAGCAATTATATGACCTACTGAGACTAGGGATCAAAGAGGAGGAAGAGTCAAAATATTCAGCTACAGGGGCAATATATAAAACATAGCACTTTCAGTCTGTATAATTATCTACAGGGATAATGATTTATTTATGGCTCGCCAAATTTATATTACTGGTATGGATACAATTAAAAGTTGCAGTGTCCCTTGCTTTAATAATCTTTTCAACAGTTCATGGCAAACTCAGAAGAGTTGAGAAAAAGAAAAATAGAACAAGGCAAATCAGAGCCATGCATGAAGGAAAAAAGACCCCAGGCAGGGACTATCCCAAGTGATATAATAATCACAGAATTATCCCACACAGATGGGGAGGGATGGAGCTTGCGCTCCGGCCCCTTGAGGTGACTGGTCTAGAAAGCCAAGGTGTGCGGACTCACCAGCGGCATCCCCCGCCTCCCCAGGCCGGCTCCTCGCCGCAGGCTGGCTTCCTCGGCATTTTGCTTTTGTGCTTTTCAATGGTGCTCCCCTTTTCCTCACCCAACTTGTATATTTTACACCTGTATAGGAGAACGTTATCGGAAGTGTCATTTATTCCAGAGCTGTGAAACCACAAATGGCGATTCCCCTCTACCAGGACCTTCAGGGGGGCTTATGTTCTCTTCAACTCCACCCCATCTTCCCCAAACTTCCGCTTTGTGAGGAGGTCCTTTATGCACCTTACAATAAGCCTGCTCAATATAAGTGCACATTTTCGATGTATAGGGCACTTCAGAGCAGCGTGGATAGAAAATTTTGGAAAGATGCTACAGTCAAACAACTGCAGACGTAATACCCTGTTGTTTTTATTGCTAATTAGGAACAAAACACAAGTTTGACCTTATTGCATGCTAATCAGCTATTAAAAATAAATGCTTCTTTAGGGAAAAAAATCAAACCTGGTTGCCTCTTTTCCATGTAGAAAAAGGAATAAAACAACCAAGAGGGAGCACACGCTTTAAATTCTTTCCTTGTTTTAATTTTGCTGAGGCAAAGTCACTAAATGGTACTGATGTAAAATGTAAACATGGGCACGGCAGTTGGGAGTCACGGGGCAGAGATATGGCTGCCATCATAACCCCTGGATGCTCTTCTCTTGGAAAGTCCTGTTATTGTCAGAAAGATGAATTCTGAAACAACTCTATATTGTGCAATCTGCAGATTTTATTGACAAAGGTGTCAAGTCCTGCAGAACTGAAAGTTGTTTGCCTTGTCATGAGATAAATAAGCAGGTTTCTTCGAGCTCCCAGCTTTATTCAATTTGCTTAGATACAAGGTGACGGTAAGCATTGATTCCATGTAAGACCGGATATAGATTTTTTAAGGGAGGTGCATGTCCTGGGAGTTAGAGTCACCTCTTGAAGAAGCTGATGGCTTTGCAGCATGGCTTGTGGATCGAGAGAGAGAGAGAGAGAGAGAGAGAGAGAGAGAGAGAGAGAGAGAGAGAAGCCACTGGAACCTGAGAGATTATGGTGATCCTGGGAGCAAGTGGGCTGCTCAGTTTTCATTGCCTTGCTTTGGGGATTCACAGCATGTTACAGCTGGAATTGAGAGACTTAAAGAGTATGCAGGATAGTGGATGCTCTTTCTCAAACTTTGGGTGTGTTCTAGAATCTGGGGGGCTTGCTAAAACACTGGTCCCTGGTCCCCAGCCCCAGACGGTTCTGAGTCAGTAGGTTTGGAATGAGGCCTCAGAATATGTATTTCAAACAAATTCTTAAGTGAGACTCATGCTGTAGGTCTGGGGACTGCACTTTGAGACTCACTGGTCTAATACAAACCTCTTATTTTATAGGTGAATAAACAAGGCACAGGGAGAAATCCTGATTTGTGGAGGCTGTACCCAGCAGCCCTAGAAAACTGGTGTTTCCTGCTTTCATAGCTGATGTTCTTGCTTTTTCCCTAGAACCATGCTTTGCAGCCTTTTTACCTGCTCCACAAAAACATAACCTTAATCTAGAGATAAAGAAGCTGTTTCTTAAGCAGGCAATAGGAGTGGAGTGCTTGTCTTCCTGCTGGAAGCTCCTATGCATTCGTACAGGAAAAACAGTCTCCAAACGTGAGAAAAAGGAACAGTCTTTGTGTAGGGAGGTTTCTCCCTAGACTCCTGCTTGTCAGAGAAGATGAGAGACAAGGGACTCTCAGGGATGTTCAGAGGTGTATTTGGTTGTCTTATATAGTAAAGAGTTTCTGGAGACTACACTTTTCTTTCCCCCCCTTAACAGAGGAATGTGGCCGAAGGTATTTGCAAATCAGAAAAGCTATTTGGGGTTGGGTGACCTCTCAGGCCCCTCCTCACTCTGAGACTCTATGACCCATGAAATTGGCTCTTTTAATACATATTGTAGTAACATTTGCTCATTTCAGCCTAACTAAACTATAGTTTGTAATAGGATGTAAATTCTAATTCAATAACGCTGAGCCCTCAAAACAGTTTCCTCTGCAACTACTATTTCCTGAATCTTTTTTATTTTAGCAATCAGTTTACAAAAGGCATGTCCTGAAACTTGTATTAAAATACACCCAGTCTATATTTTACATTTAGACTCTACACTCTAATTCCTCTGAACCTGCTTTATTCTTTTCTTAGCATTTACTGATGTCTGAGACTGTATTATAGACTTACTGCCATGCTTGCTGTTTGTGCCCACCGAGACCAGATATAAACCCCAAGAGTAAAAGATTGTATCTCTGGGCCACCGCGCTAACCACAATGCTCAGCGAGCCGGGTACCTCATGGCAGTGCATCAGCATTTGCTCAGTGGATGAACTCAGAAGGTTCCTGACCTCCAAATTAACATCTACAGAGGTTTTCAGGAATAAGAATATAGTAAGCAGAAGGAATTCCTGTTTTATAAAGCTATTAAATGAAGTGCATGAATGGAGAATAAAGACAGTCAAATATTTACTCCCTGCCAGCCAATATAAGTACAGAAGATGGTGTTAAGAAAAAAAATAAGGTATATTAAATCACATCAAGTGAGTTTTCTTGAACCTGAACCATGTTTTGTGTCTCGAGGAGCCTCTCCAGAAGACAGCCATTTGGGATTTTTTTTTTTTATCGTGTCGATCATTTGCTAGCACTTAGGGTTTGGGGACACTAAGTTCCTAACTTCTTACAGGAAGACCAGCAGCTCTATTACTATGGCTCAATATATCAGATTTGTTCAACACAAAAAAATATCACCCCACTATATGTAGTGGAATCACACAGCTGTGTGATACTCTAGATGGATGAAACTTGATCATCATGGAAACTATGGACAATAATTCTGTTCAGAAATGTTCACTGACTACCATTTTGTTTCAAGGTTGTGGACTGAGCCACAAGCTGACTTCAACTTCTAATGGACACCACCAATTTGATTAAAGTAAGGCAGCTCCTTTGAAGTCATCCCAGAACAAAGGGCCAAACAAATATGAAAGGCTTAGGGATAGAGTTAAAAATAGGCAGTTTCCAGGAATACAGTTTCAAGCAAAAAAAAAAAAAATTAGACTGGAGTTGACCTTTGGATTGCAATGGGAATCAGATTCAGATTTGCATCGGTTCTGTTAAGGACAGGAATGTCCATGTGAGACCTTTCACACAGTTGTTAAGGTAGCATTCACGAGATGGGAGCCCAGCTCTGCTCTGTGGTCAACTTCCAGACCAGGACACCAGAGCTGAGAGGAATAGCCTACCCAGGGGCACCTCACAGGCACTCCAGTCAAAGACTGTGGAACAAATGCATTGTTCAAATCAGCACCTTAGTAGAGAAGAAGAAACACCAACTCTGAAGTCAGACAGATTTGAGTTCGAGTTCAAGTTCAGGTTCAGGCACTTACATACACAATCTTAGACAAATCACTCATTTCTTGAGGCTCAGTATCCTTAAAATTAGAATAGCTCTGGGATACGTGATGTATAACATGGTGCCTATAGTCAACAGTTCTGCAGTGCGTATCTAAAAGTTGCTAAGAGAATAGATCTTAAAAGTTCTATTCATAAGAAAAAAGTTGTGCCCTGGTTGGTGTGGCTCAGTGGATTGAGCACTGGCCTGCAAATCAAAAGGCCACCAGTTTGATTCCCAGTCAGGGCGCATGCCTTGGTTGCAAGCCAGGTCCCCAGTTGGGGACACATGAGAGGCAATCACACATTGATGTTCTTCTCCCTCTTTCTCCCCCCGTTTCTCTAAAAATAAACAAATAAAATAGTTTTTTTTTAAAAGAAATAAGTTGTAACTATGTGAGGTAATGGGTGTTCACTTGTGGTAATCTTTTTACAATACAGACAGCTATAAAATCGTTATGTGTACCCCTTAAACTTATACAAAGTTATGTGTCAATTATATCTCAATAAAACTGGAAAAATTGGGATAATGGTGCCTATTATCAAGAGACCTGGGATAAATAGAGATATTTTATGAATAATGTAAAACAGCATCGCATCCTGGACCTTTAAACAAATGTAAGCAGAGAGCTCTAATTTTCACTGAGTGCTACCATAGGCAGGCACAACAGGCCCCTGTGACGGAGCCTGAGCCAGGCTTGCTTAAACAAACATCTCCACATCCACCTCCAGAGATTCACTACGCTTGGTATCGTCCACTTTGGGAATGACAGCACGACAGCTTTGTATTTTGACATTCAGTAATGGTCCTTTGAAATTTTGTCTCATCTGTTAAATGGGGCTATTTATATTCAGCCCCTGCCTACCACACTGTAAAGATCACAGCAAAGGAGAGTAAATACCGAACGGCATTATGCCGTTAGGATTAGATTTCTAATGCTCACCCTTTGGGGCTTTGGCATTTGGGGGCTTCCTGATTATTATCACTACAAGATGTATGATAAAATGACATTGTTTACTCTGCAGAGGCAGACACCTTATTACAAATTCCGGCTTCTGGCTTCTCTCGTATCCCCCCTGCAGTGGGAACAGAAAAGAAGCTGACTCGCAATAAATGTGGTGCGATGCCTCTTGCAATCAGGACCTTTGCGGGGTGAAGTTTGTATTGACACTCTTAAAATATGAGCCTGTCTCAGTGTTTTATGTCATCAATTGTGACTGTCAGTTTCCTTTGCAAAGAGGGGAATAATGGAGCTCTTTTTCCCTTAGCTTTTTCCAAACCGGTGTTGCCCCGAGGGCTGGGAGCAGCCCTGGTTGTGGTGGGAGGAGGGATCTGTTTTAGGAGTAGGGAAGGTTTTATGATGCTGTGTGCTTAATCCCAGGCTCAAGCATAGGAAGAGCATCTGGCCCTCAAGCTGAAAGGTGTACCGTGCCCCTGAACTTGTGGGTACTTGAAGGCTGTTCCTCTGGACGCTGGGGAAGATTTTAGCAATTCACCAGCACTTTTTATTTGCAGTGCCAATGAGAACGCTTGGGTTTTCTGGGACAGTCTCTTTCTCGCTGGGCAGGCAGTGGGCTTAAGTACCAGAGACACTAGCGTTTATAGGCCCGACTGGTCTCCGTGAATCGAGCCTCGTTGCCTTAAGATCTGCCCCAGGTTATAGGATCTTTCTGGGAAGCAAGATTTCACCT